TAAATTGAAATTTCCTTTACTAATTGAGTTGTGTAAGAGAATATATTGGATTTGAAAGGAGGCTTTCAAAATAACCATCCCAACGGATCAGTCCAGTGAATTCCTAATAGGAGAAGTCTAAATCATTCTTCAATTTGCCAAGTCGGATAATCTTAAAAGGAAAACTTTCTCGTAATATCGGCCTTCGCCGCGACTATCTTTAAGCGATTTATCTGATCCATTTATCTTTGGGGATTATTGACGAGAAGATAATAATGTATGGGGGCGGGCCGATTCAAAATTCGGCCTTTGTTCCGGCATTTGACGAAGTGGGTAAGTTAGATCTTCGGATTCGGAGTCAATGGCAAAGGCTCGGAAAATGTTTGGCCGCAGATTTCAACGATGGCTATTTATAACGGACAGGGAGCCACGGGGAACGGCATTGTTTACCACGATCCTTCATGCAGATAGGTAAATGTATTTTTAGAAAGAAGTATGCGGACGGGGAATTTTTCACATTGCTCACAGAAGCCCTTTGGGAAAATATTCTGACGAATATTTCCCTCCTGAAAAGTTCCGGTATGACAACGCGGTAGAAGCCCTTCTTGTGCAAAACCACAAAAATAGTTACACATTGTGTTTATTTAACAATAAAGGTATTTCAAAGAAATATTGAAATTTTTACACGAAACAAACAACAAACAGAAAAACATACGAAATATGTTACATGAGTCACAAACGGAACATTTCACAACTGTATGGTTTTTCACACTCAAAACACTATTATAAAAATAAACTCTAATAATTAATTCAAACTGTTCATAAGTCAGAAATAAATATATAAAAAAAATTAAATAAAAAATTCACTAATTTCGTGGTCCGCTTGACCAATTAATATCTTACAATTAATTAAGGTTTTTAGTTAAGATAAAAAAGTCAATGGCACGAGCGGGATTCGAACCCACGATCTTCGGCTAGATACGCCGCTGCTCTACCACTTGAGCTATCGTGACCTCGATCCACTCGGACATTAACTTCCCATCTCAACCCCACCTTTTGAATTTTCCCTCCTTTTTGCCATTTTTCAAATGTCGTGAATCTATTTGATTCTCGGCGACAAATTTTTATCTCAACTAAAAACCTTAATTAATTGTAAGATATTAATTGGTCAAGCGGACCACGAAATTAGTAAATTTAATAAGTTTAAAATGAAGTATACCTTCACTAAAACTCTCCGTGGCCATTTCATTCGCCTAGAAGCGAATAGATGCAAAAAGAAGGGAAAATTCGAAAGGTGGGGTTGAGATGGGGAGTTGGGGTCTGAGTGGATCGAGGTCACGATAGCTCAAGTGGTAGAGCAGCGGCGTATCTAGCCGAAGATCGTGGGTTCGAATCCCGCTCGTGCCATTGACTTTTTTATCTCAACTAAAAACCTTAATTGTTAAATAAAAAAGTTCAATAAACAAAGATTGAACTGATGTTTAAGAATTAATCCAATGTCGGTTCTACAGAAGAGAAACTTCTCAAAAATCTTTCTTTTTTCAAATAAAAGTCAAACGGAAAGACACAAAGTACATTACTGTTAGATGTCTGATGGTTATCGAACGACAAAGTCCACCTTGTTGCTGTAGGTCAAACACATTTGGCTTGTCGCCATCATCTGTATACCACATCCAAGGCTGAAGCTGATAGAAAAGGTTAGGACGGGACGAGACTGGACGGACCCGGTTGGCAAAACTTGCTGACAACGTCCCTATAATTGCTTATGATAATCAGGAATTTGCTTAATAAGTAACATTTAATGTTAATGTAATTATTGTCCTATTTAATAAAAAAATGTATTCTAAAACGGTTTATGACGTCCAAAAAGGAAAAATTAAAATCTTTTTACCAATTTAGAGATCATAATAAATCAGTACAATAAGTGTGAAAATGGCTGAAATCTTAGTATGCTCATACTAACTTTTTTGTCGTTTTAAATAAGTTCTTGAATGAAAATTCTTTTTGGATATTTTCAAATGTAGATCCCTAAAGGTCTTTTGTTAATCAGACAGGATTGTGTCCTCCCTGACCTTTCGCCCTTTCTACCCCCTTTTACGATTAATTGATTCAACGTTCAACATGTTAAATATAAAATCATGTTCAATCATAAAGAAAAACTTTGTATGCCACACACTATTTTCAGGATCTAAGCTCTCTACTGTAAAAAATAAACACCATTACCGGTAAAGTCATACAATTATAAAAGTGCTGACGCTCAAGAGCTGAGAGAACTTTTTTTTATCGCTCGGATCGGAAGTGTCTGGGCGCATTGAATGAAAAACGTGGCCTTAAAAAAGGGAGCCGGGATTTCACAGACGACCGGCCAGGTCAAATAGTAGTAGTATGAAAGGGATGGGAGTGTTTGCCATGGGCCACGTGGGCAATTGGTAGAAAACAAATATCATTACGGGCCCTTGCTAAGAATAATGGGAAAAGGAAACCCGGGAGTACGGTGACTGGACAAAGAGGGTGGCCGGCTCTCGAAAACCGCCCTGAACAACCCCCAAACAAAAAAAGTATACCCAGGAACGATTTAAAATTTCAAAAAAGGGGCGAAATTGCAAAATCTGATTTTTCCAGATCCAAGAATTTTAACCAATTTACAGGCTATCCCTTGGCTATGATTTATTACCGATAAGCCTTCCATGAGGATTTGACAAGCTTGAGAAACCTACTTACGCCCACTTCATGTGTCAAGAGGATATATATATATGTTAGAAAAAAAAGTACTATCGGGAACTTTACTTGAAAGGCCCACGGGCGAATAAGGGCCAAACTCCAAACAAGTTAGCGGAGTTAAAAATTACACTGCACTCTTTCCTTATATACACAGAACTTTTTCAATTATATTCTCGTACAACAATTTACACATATACAATTTTAGAAAGGATCCACACCGAATACGAAAGTCCACAATCGTGGCACATAATTTATCAGTAAACGCGTTTGGCCTTGTTTTCCGGCTTGCATTGATTGTATACAAATCACTTTATATCGAATCTTTGGGATTAAAAGCAGTTTTGTATACAATTCTATCCGAAAAATTATTCCACTAAAAGGATAACAGTCAATAATAAGTCTGCTTTTACTAGGTTTTTCCTAACATATGTCCACTTTTGGCTGACTGTACGTTTCAATTATTACCAAATTATAAAGGCACCCACTGGTAAAAACTGAACCGTCGGATTCTCGAAATGATTTGTGTGTAGACCAATTGTAGAAATACCAATTATAGTTATTTTATCAGACTCCTTGAAAGCATCCAAACTACTCAAATTCGCCATTGTCTGGTTAATTATGGTAAAGGAGGATATTCAATTATGCTGGAAATACGAGGAGGCGACGCGTCGTTGGAGGCGAGTGGAACTCTTATCGAGGCGGATAAGATAGCACTGTTTGTACAGATATGAACCTACCCTCGACGACGTCCTCCTTTCTGATCCAAATTAGTTTAATAACTATTTTAAACAATGAGATTTACAAAACATAACCGTTAACATAAAAACAAAAGGGCATTTTGTTCAGCTAAAACAGTCTGAATGGCGTTTAAGAAATCAAGCAAAAGACGAAACTTTGAGAGAAGGTCGATCGAAAGCATCCAGCCTCAAATCCCTGGCATATGCTTAATCTCAAGACTCCATTGAACGACTTCACATTATTCGTAAAAGTATTCCTCAGGTATTTAATTTGTAACAACTCTGACGTTACATTTTCTTCAATTAAATCATATTCAGCAGTATTGTATACATTTCAAAATTAATAAGTATTACAATTAGCACTTTACAGATCAAAATCGATTTTAGTTATTTGGACCAGGTGTTTGACAGTTGAAATTAGTAATGCAAATAATTGAAAGTACAAGTTTATCAAAATTACACAATTCAAGATGAATCCACAATTGAATACCTACGTATATTTATATTTTTTATAGATATTTTTTAAATAAAGGTGAAAGTTAATCCTTCATAATAATTCAAAGTTCGAGTTTACAAGTGGTAAATTTTAAGTATGAGGGACCTGATATTCAATAAATTCCTGTTCACATAAAAAACTGAAAGTTCAGACTTTTTAAATTAAACCAAATTGAATACATATGTATATTTTTTATAGATATTTTTAAATAAAAGTGAAAGTTAATCCGTCATAAAACTTCAAAGTTCGAGTTTACAAGTGGTAAATTTTTAAGTCTGAGGGACCTGATATTCAATAAATTCCTGTTCACAGAAAAACCTGAAAGTTCAGACTTTTTAAATTAAACCAAATTGAATACATATGTATATTTTTTTATAGATATTTTTAAATAAAAGTGAAAGTTAATCCGTCATAAAACTTCAAAGTTCGAGTTTACGAGTGGTAAATTTTAAGTCTGAGGAACCAGATATTCAATAACTTATTGGTTGCAGAAAAAAATAAAAGTTCAGACTTTTTAGATTAAACCATAATTGAATACCTACGTATATTTACATTTTTTATTACATATTTTTAAATAAAGGAGGAAATTGATCCTTCATAAAAACTTTTACAGGCAAAAATCGATTTTAATAATGGACTGATTCGATAACTAAATAGTAATGCAAATACATTTCGAAGTGCAATTTATTGTAATGATTTATAAGTACATGAGTTTGGAATAAAAAAAATTCCGAAAAAATGTGAAATGCCCATGTAATAACGTTGCCTAAACTTTTTAATGGCGAATCACGTCATGGTGAGACGACCAAATCCACAATTAAACCGAATCCACTCGAGGTCGCTGTCTCCCTTCATACAATCGTGTGAAAACATTCAAGACGAGGATTATATTTAGGAAGAAGTTCAATAAATAGAATGTTTTTATGTAGAAAGATAAAATAAATAAATAGAGGGCTTATTTTTGTTGTTTGATATGTTTAAATCTCGGGGTGAAAAAAAAAGTGATGGGAAATTTCGGGTGTACAATTATAGCAAGACGTCCGGGGAAAAAGCACATGCATACAGACCTTGTGCGTTGGTTTGTCGGAGGGCGGGCGGTGAGCGTCGTACGCGAGTGTCTGGAGCGGAGGAGGCGCGCGGCGAGTGGCGAGTGGCGTGCGGTGAGTGCGGCGCGGCGAGGCCGGACCGGCTCGGCGGCTCCTCCTCTACAGCACGGAATACAGTTGTAGCCGGAGGGAGAAGCGTAGACGTGGCGCATGCGTCCGCCGCCCATCCGAGGAATCCATGGACCCCGGTATTGACAACGTCTACAGGCCGTCCCACTGATCTTGTAACCGGCGTGACGTCACTACTCGCTCTCCCTCGCCCTCTGTTTCGACTTTGACAGCTTTTAATGAAAGAGTCCGACGGAGATTTACGGCGTAGATAATAACGAGGAAGCTATTGATTCTGGGAGAGTTGGCGATCCGAGGAACCGAGCCGCTAGCTATCGCCCTCCGACAAAACGAGATCACACTCAATTCAAACACTTCAAACATACCAAAAAACCGCAGCCAAATACTCAAAATAATATCCAAATGCCAGAGAGATACGTTACTCAACAACATAAAAATTGCAACTACCAAGTAACAGCATATAACTGAAAAACATTCAAAAAAACAGTATAACAACTAACTATATTTCCCAGATGGTCGTAGTTGGAACTAAGTGACGCTTAATTTTGACTTAAAACTAATACAATAGAATAGAATAGAAATTATATATTACATACAAATTAAACACTAAATTGAAATAAATATAACAAAACCTGTACAGAATCGCTAGCTTTCATCTAAGTGAAAACCTGCATTTGTTAGCTGGAGGCCTGGTTCGGAGCACAGTAAATAATGACTAGCATGTTCGAGATCGGGATGCGGTCATCAAAACGAGCAAGTTTTGTAACTTATGCCAAGCTTTCAACCTTTATTGAGGTCTTCATCAGAGTCATCAGCCCTACAAGTAATTCAACGTTTATAATTAATAAATAAGGGGACCGCGGTAGCCGAGTGGTTAGCATGAGAGACTCTCACGCCGCGGTCGTGGGTTCGATTCCCACCGTCGCCTCTGGCCCTTTTTTCCCGATAACCCCCAATTTGAACACACAAGAATTCGTACTATGGCTAATATGCAAGATGATAAGGCCAATAAAAAAAAAGTAACACAATAATTCTCAGATAACAATGGATAACTTATTCGTCATAATATTAAAAGTAAAATATTATAATGATAGCCAACAAAAGTGTGTTTAAGTCTTTTTTGCATGTATTTACGGTAGTACAAGTCTATCCTGTTATAAATATAATAATATACGGGTGTTCGGCTATTCGTGTTACAAACTTTGCCAGTAGATTCTACATTCTAAAAGGAGCAAAAAAGTTTTAAAAAACTGAAGGTAATTTTGAATGAATTTATTAAAGGTTTGTTAATTTTGATTAAACGTTTAATATTATTATATTATCATTCAAAATTATCTTTTTTTTTAATTTTCCACCTTACCATCATTTAATCAAAATTGGAGTCGTGTTGCTAAATAAGTAAACTTGCACAATTTCGGTTTTGAACCCAAATTTAAAAAACTTTTAATAAATTCTTCCAAAATTTCCTTGTTTTTTTTTTTTTAATTTTTCCAACTTACCAATCCGTCAGCCACGGGTTTTCCTATCCTCCATCAATTTCTTCACCTTTGAAAAAATTAATTAAAAAAGAAATAACACTACTAAACAGGATATAAAATGAAGTACGTTTTCTGAAATTTGCTGGCCTCTAGGTTTGGAAATAGTAGTTTAGAATCACCATAGTAAGTTTTCAACTTTGAAAAATATATTCTGGATACTAAAACGCTTATTTCACGAACATTTACAAGTTTAGTGTTGTCCACATCTTATTGAGAATTGAACATAGTTTTCAGTGGTATCAACCTTTTAGTTTTGGAGTTATCATTGTTTATTTGAAGCATGGTCGTGAAGTATTAAAAAATCAGAAAAAGAGAAATAACTCCGAAACTGTTGAGATTCGGACCATAGTTAAATAGGACTTTTTGGTTCCGTTTTCAGTAGAATCTACTGGACAAGTCTGTAACGCAAGTAGCCAAACACCCTGTATAATATATTTATTTACTTGAACTATCATAAATGCATACAAAAAAGACTTAAGCACATGTTTAACAAATGATGAACATGTGTTACAAAGAAATTTGTCTGCCACATTTAACCAATTGCTGTGACAACTAAATAGATATTATTGTCCTTGTCTGTTAGATGATTTGTTGTGTATAACATGTATTTGAATATCGTTACTGCATTTTTTTTAATTTATTGCTTTTTGGTTTACAGAATCAAACACTACCATTCACATCTAAGCATGTTACTCGACCTGACTGCAGAGTTCTCAATATTACGGTGTTTGACATAATTAATGCTAATTTATTCTGGGTTAAGGTATTCAATTCACAAGCCATGATCTTATTATAAACTTGTTCTCCTTTAACAACCACCAAAGTTTGTAACACGAGTACCCGAACACCCTGTCTATATATATATCGTTATAGACTCAGAATGACACAACACAGACAGAAATTTTAATATTGTGACGAATTAGTAGAGCTCTGATGAAGACCTCAATGCTCAATAAAGGTTGAAAGACTGGCGTAAGTTACAAAACTTACTCGTTTTGATGACCGCATCCCTGATCTCGAACATACTAGTGATATCCTGGCAGTCGATTCATCCTTCCTTCATAATGAATTGTGAAAAGAAAAAAATGTACTTGTACATAGACAAACACTAAACAAAAAGTTTAATTATAATTATATTGTTCGATAATTTTATTTATTATGGTTTTTATAAAGGATGTAAAATTATTATAATATTTGTAATTAATTTTATTTTTATCGATTATTTAGAGATCGTGAAGCGGTCTGATATGATGTAAGTTCTGAAAAACATTTTCTTTATCGTGCCAACGTTTCGACCTTTATTGAGGTCAACTTTAGGGGCTGGGATTTACAAACATTGTTTAAATTATACAAATACATTTAAGATGTGAAAATGAATTTATACAATGATGTACACAATATAGAAATTTTAGGCTTAATCAAATTATTTGTACTTCCTCAAAGTGTGTATTTTTTTTTTTTTTTTTGGCGTTATGAACTATGCATATTAGCCATGTGACAATTCGTATATGTGTGTTCAAATTTGGGGGGGTTATTGCGAAAAAAGAGCCAGGGGCAACGGTGGGAATTGAACCCACGACCGCGGCGTGAGAGTCTCTCATGCTAACCACTCGGCTACCGCGGTTTTTTTTTTTAAATTATACGATTTTAGTCATAGACATAGATTTATTATAAAAACCAGTGAGAGGTTATTCTTAATTTCACTACCTTTCGGCATGTTATTTACAATTTTTGTTCTTTTTTTCTATTTTTAACGCTTGTGGGTCGTGTTGAGAGTGTTAGTGAGATATTAATGTTTTTTGTTTTTATATATTTGATTTTGAAGGAGTGTGGAAGGAAGTATACTGTACTATACTATACTACTACAATTTATTCTTATCTAAAAATCTCAATGCAAAATTATGTGAAAAATTGTAGGTTACGGCAGTTTTAACTTCAGGCATCTGACATGTATGCAAATTTCTAGTGATTAATAAATTATTATGGAAGGGAGGGATTTTATTATATTTAAAGAGGTGACTACAAGACTATTTTAGGAATATTTGCTTTAAATGGAGCACTTTCATTTATAATAGAGCTGCTTTGTATGTCTTAATTTTTTTAAAGAATAATTTAGAATATAACGTATAACGTCCTAATCTTTAATGTTTTTATGTAGCAATTTCTTACTCCATCCCAGGCAATTGTGCCATATGACAGTACAGATTGGGCGAGCGCAGAGTAAACTGATTTTACAGATTCAAAGTCTAATATTCTAAAAATTTTAAATTTAAAAAATCGTTTTCGGATTCTCTTTACTAAAAATTCAATATTTAAATTTAAATGACAAGCGCTCGTCAGAAATGATTCCGAGATATTTGAGGCGATTACAGAAGGAAAGAGGATGACAATTATTGCTGCAATCAGGGAATTTTCAAAGACTTTGAAGTAACATTGTTCTACAAAGAAAAATTAATTAAACTTGTTTTCCCAGTGCTCAAATAATACGTTTCTAAGCAACCAGACTAACAATATTTATGTCATTAATTTCCGTATATAAAGTTTTTAAATTATTGCATGAAAAAATAAGACAGATATCATCCGTATAGCTAATAATTTTTGCAGCTAGTTGAAGGTTAAACATTTCATTAATGTAAATTATAAATAAAATCGAACCAAGAACTGTACCTTGGGGTACACCAGATTTAATTACAAAAGAAACACTGATGACATCGCCTATTTTAGAAACCTGCGTTCTAGTAATGCATAAAGGGCAAGCGCTGATCCTAAAACGTCAATATTTTTGCAATATTTCGTGATCCACAGAATCGAAAACTTTATTAATAACCAGAAAAACCCCATAACCATAATTTCCACAATCGATTTCCCAGAATGAATGATTGGTAACTTCAAAAATGGCTTGCTCGGTAGACCTAGACGGGAGAAAACTAAATTGATTTTTTGAAATGTACATAGTTCTTGTATTATCTAGTTCGGATAATATACTCCAGCAGTCTATTCTTGATAGTTTTCTCCAAGATTTTTGATAGTGATAAAGTTATAGATATTGGACGGTAATTTCTTATTTCAGATGGACTAAAGGTGTTAATATAAATTTGGAATTTTTTTAAGTGGTAATTTATGAGATACTAATCAAGAAAGGAGTTATTAGTTAATAATTTCCAACTTAAAACATCAAAGACTTCCCTCTTTGAAATGGAGTTTATACAGGGTAGCCCGAAAACCCGAAAAAAGCCGAAAAAAAATTGGCTTATAATACTTCCCAAATGGAGTAAAATGCAACTTACCGAACTGTTCTATCACAATCCGGTCGGAAGTTATGTTATGAATTTTTACGTGTTTTCCGAAAAATCCCGATCTTAACCCATTGGCATTTCCCAACTTTTTTCTTTGTCCCATTCCCAGTAGACTTTTTCAAATTCCTTCTGCCCCACCCTTCAACCCTGAAGTACATAATCTATAATATTAAAACACTCACTGAATAAAGTTAAAGATTATTGGGAAAATCACTATAGAATAATTGATAAAACACAGTAAGAATATTTTTTGAAAACCCCGACAACGATGTTCAACATCTAGGGCGCTGGAACGAATATGAGAGTTAATAAATTATTTGATCTGAAACTCATCTTGTGATGTTGTTCAATTTTTAAAACAAGTTATACTCCTTTAATGCACCAATAAGATTCGCATCAGTAAGAATCAATCTTTTTCATTTTATTTATTTTTTTAAACAGCGGTCATTGGTGAATGCTAAAGAGTTTGCTGGAACACGATATCTGAGATACAAGTTCAATCAAAGTACTTCGTCGCAAAATAGATGATTTTTTCGCACTATAAAAAATCGTTGAAAAATAGTAAATTTCAATGAAATTCGTATATCTGATAAATCTTTATTTTCTAAAAAAGAGAAAAACTCCCTTATGTTTGGTTGAAATTTCCAAATTTAACAAAAAATCAAGTAAAAGTTTTCCTTATGTGAAATATTTATTATCTGAGAAATTAATATGATTCTCGGAATGTATTTCATTCTATTTATTTTCACCTGATATATAAGTTATATTGGTCTTCAAAAGCAAAATACTAATTAATATTAATCAATATATGTCATAATTGATCTATTTAATTATTTCAATTAATTATGCTTTTTGTCTAAAGTCTTGGTTGAGACGAAAAATTCATTTCACGAGCGGGATTCGATCCAACGACC